AATGCATATCAAACAAACAAAAATTGTTTCTAACTATTTCTATTGGAGCTTCTTAAAAATCATTTTGTGGAAAGAAATTCAAAATCGATACTATAAATTCTTTGAAACCAAGTTAATGTATCTTAATCAAAAGAAGACTAGAAACATTAATATAACATCAATATACAAGACCAAGGTTTAACAAAAAGCTTCTAAAGAGAGATGTGTTGTTAACAGAATTCAATCCATCTGCGTTCCTAACAATTTAGGAACATCTCCTAACTTAAGGCAATGTGAAGAAAATAGGAAAAAATATTGTGGGCAAAGGCAACTCAAGCAGCAGGGTGGTTTATAATGAGGAACCCTATGTCCCTCATCACTTGTGAATTGATTTCCATTCTCAGTGATTTATGTACAGTTTTTTTTTTATTTTTTTTCCAACCCATATTTTCAAGTGTGATGGGCCTTCTGGCCACTTCAGCTTTTCTCTCAATGAACCAAGTATGGGAAGCACTATCTTTGTACAAGTTAACTTAAGCCTAATAAATCACTTATAATGCTGAATGAAACTGCTTCAGCTGAACATGAGGAAAGAGAACATTTAAAACAGTTAACAATGGCCCTGAATTCATGGGGACTCAAGCAGCATTTACCAACCAGACACTGACAGAACCAAATGCATAATGACCAAGAAATGAGTGGGCATTCTTTATGCAGAAGTTCCATTTGCTTTAGAGTAGATTTTACATAGATTTAGAGTAGAAACACAACACTAATTGAAAGGGTACACTAATATTTTCAAATGCAATCAATTAGTAGGTTTATGCAGCATTTATCAGTGCTTAAATAATGATTGTATTTTAAATGAAGTACCAGAAAACATCACATTAAACATCAAAACAGGTTGCTGGCTAAGTGTAGAACATTCAGGGCAATTACAGTTTCAACAGAAGTTTGTTACATAAAGAACAAACTATCAAGAATGAAGTTTCATTTGCCCTTTTCTTCTGTGCTGTCTTATATAGCAAATAACACTGCATTAAACCCTCTGTATATATATTTCTAAATAAAAAAACCTGATCAGTCTACATGTTGACCAAATGTATCTCCCAATGGATTTATAAAACACTTCCCTACCTAAGGTTCAGGGATCATTGTAGAAGAGGGGGCAGAAGGATTTTAAGAATCAGAGGTCAGGAGTCTGCAGTGAGATGTGTCTCCAAGTAACAACAGAAGATACACTCACATAAAGTTTCATCAACATGACTGCCTAAACCCACAGAACAAGAATAATAATAGACATGGCCTCAACTGTCATTCAAAGGAGAAGAGACAACCAAAAAATTTCTGGAGTTGAAAAAGCAACAATAATGGCAGGGTATCTACATCTACCTAACACAGGCCCAATGGAAACAATATAGTCTGTAGATAATTATTAAAGAAATAAAAATAACTTGCATATCTGAACAAAATTATCAGGTGAATTCCACAGTTAAACAATAGAACCTTACCTTATAAAATGGTCATTTCGAATGAGCAGAAGATGCTGAAGAATAGAAAGAAAATATCCCTCTGCTCTAGTTTGCTTAACTGTGTCCCACACCAAGTTATAAACATCAGATGCTTCAGTGCGCTGATTAAGGAAGGATGACATGAATGGATTCAAACCCTACACCCAACAGCTAATACAACACATATCTTCTGAATGAGGGTTTGGGAGACAGGTATACAAACAACAGTCTAGAAATTATTGTTTTAAAAGAGCTACCTAGGAACTGAACATGGAGAATGCCAGAGATAGCCATTTGACAGGACACTTGTTTACCCTTCACAGTCAAGTGTAACCACTGGAAAATACAGTGGGAGTACAGCCAGCAGCTGGTTGGGAAAACCCACTAAGGTCTAAGGATGTCCTGAACAACAGAGCAAGCACAGGCATAGCATGCAGCAAGGAGAAGCCATAGTACAAAATAGGATTCCAGCAGGTCTTGGAAACACTCAATATCTGAAAATCCATCAATTTACATGAGGCCTCCAAGGTAATGTATCCAATGTGGAGAAAACAGCAATTAATGGACTGATGCTATCTCAAACCCATTACCACACAGAAGAAAGACACAAGCCATTAAAAAGAACAGACTGTACACATATGTAACAACCTGGTCTAAGCTAAGCATTTTAATAATTGTAGCATCCCTTTCAACATATGTCCTGACCCAAAAAAGAAAGACAGGCAGACAGACTGGAAGGAAGGAAGGAAGGAAGGAAGGAAGGAAGGAAGGAAGGGAAAAGATAATGAAATGGTGACACGTTCTTCATACATAAATGTTTAATTTCATATATTTTCCATAGAATGACAAATATTTTATGAGATACAGTGCACGATTTTAGATCTAACGGTATGTTTATATATCTTTTAACTAGGACTCAGAGCAAAAGGATATTCAAGTTCAGCTCTAATATCTTCAAGGCGATGAGAGAGCTCAATTAAATCTTCTTCTTTGTGCTCTTCAAAGACTTTAAGTTGTATATCCAGAACATCATTCTTAATACACTTTAAGTTCTATAGATATTAGATAAAAATTATGAGGGATTAGATTTTCAGTATGAGTAAATTAATCAATAACATAAACAATAAACCAACCATTCAAACAAGATTTGCAGAATTCAAACACTTAAAGTGTTAAATAATACTCAAATCTTATCTATATTTCAAAACTAGATTTTTATACTCAAGTCTTTTCCCGCAGATGAATTATTCTTGAGAGTAATTTATCTAAATTTCCCCCACTCAAGTACACTTCTAATTTAAATATTAATGAGGAGACTGCAGGGCACTTACAGGCAATATCTCTTTCAATCCACAACGCATAAATTCATTTCTGATGTGAAGCCTGAAGTCCAAATCATCAGGAGATGTAACAAGGGCATTTATGAGCTGCATACAAGCTACCTACAACAGATTACACAGACACCCTTAAAACGGTTGCCAGATTTAAAACAAAAAGAATCAAAAAAGGAAAAAAAGCAAGCTTTATTCCAAGAATTATCAAACATCTTCTCACACAAGAAAGCCTTAGAAGATAATCTGTAAGTAAAAATATCAAATGTTTAAATATATAGTTTCAATTAACTTCTTTCTCACTTATTTGGAGAATGATGTAAAGGAAACCAAACATCTCATCATAAAAACTTCATGTATGGTTGAAAGTCTTGCCCAATACCATTGTACACACAAACAATACAAACAGAACATACCCAGAATGAAAACTATAAACATCTACTACCATGTAAAGGACAACAAAGCTAGAATAGTAATTTTTCCATTCTTCACAAGAACCCAAGTTCCCAAAGACCTCAAATTCAACAAGGTCCTAAATATGGTTGATAAGGCTGCTGTAAAACATTAAAATGAAAAAAAAAAACTTTATAATGGGCATTGCTTAAGTAAGGACAAGAATTTAATTTGTCAAGCAATCACTCATACTTCTGCAAAAATTCAAACTTACTATATGTTGTATTTACTAACACAGAGTAAATTTCATAGCTCACCAAGCCCCACTAGCATGTTACAGAAGTTGGGTCATCAATTTTTTCAATTCAAGTGGGTATGAATTCCTACTTTTATATGAACAAGGCTTTTTTATTTTAGACCACTAATCAGCTCCCAAATCATGATACAGAGACTTCTTAGTAGCTCTGAATGCAGGGCCTGGCTCAGTTGTGTTTCTCTTTATCTACCTTTTGTCTTGGGGCTTCTTTTCTTCTGTATATCTTACTTTCACTGCTTCTCTATGTCTGTCTGGCATCAGCTTGGCTTATTGCCCTGGGCCTGTTCCTCATTCTCTCCTCCTTTCTCTTCTTTCCGATCCTCGATTGATCCTACTCATTCTCTCTGCCTGCTATCCCTGCTTGTCCTTCTTCCTATCTAGTACTGGCCCCTCAACTTTTATTAGACCAATCAGGGGCTACGCAAGGTGAAACAGATGCAACGTATCCTTACATATCTTTACATATCCTTATATGATTAAACAAATGCAGCATAAACAAAAGTAACACATCTCTGCCTAGTTAAAATAGCATTCTACAACATTTATACTCTTGACATTTTAAAACCTGGATGAAAGAAAGACATCTTCCCATGATTACAAATACATATTGTAAAAAGGAAACATGTTTCTCTCTCTAGAGAAGCAATATATTTTGGTATTTGATGATACAGTTTTTCTTCTATGTATACATTGTACCCCAACTCTAGCAAGTACTGGCCTGTTTACCAAAAGGAGACAAAACAACAAACAAAACAAACAAACACTTAATATACAAATTCTATGTATAAACATTCAAATACACTTTTAGTGAATTTTTCTCATATAGGCTGACTATACTAACATCAAGAGTCAAGGACCCCCTAACAAAAACCACAAAAGCCAACATAAGAAGACCTTCTTTAAGTTGGCCAGGGCTATCAAGGGACTTCTAAAACATGCAGCCTTTTGCTGTTGCCCTTGGTTACCTCCCAGAAGTGCTGAAGACACCATGCAGTTCAGAAACAGGTCCTAGAGACCCCTAAGATAGAACGGGCCTAAATAGTCCCTTCCCTGCGGACTTGTTTTCATGATACCAGAAGGCCAAGACAAGCTTCTAAAAGAGAGGCTACTTACAATCCCACCCAGTTATGATTACTATCAACCACATGAATGACCTCCATGGCACTGTAACCCTACACTACAGATGCAGCTGGTGGTAACAAACAGTTCGCTAATTGGAATTGAAACCTGCTCAACGAGATGGAGACCGTGCCTGGTACTGAAAACCAGAACCAGGGTTCAGTGCTAGTGAAGTCACAGTTATTAGAGGAGATCTATTAATTTACTAAAGCAAACTAATCTCTAACAAACAATCTAATCATTAGTTCTTATACCTACAGGTAACTGTAGACCTCACCCTTCTTCAAGGAAAATTCTCTTTGTAAAAGACAGAGATGATCTCTTTGTAACAAATTAAGGCAACTACAAAAAAATTCACAACTAAATCAGAAGGCAGAGTTGTAAGACCCAGCACCAAGGGATATATCGACAAAACACTCTCGCTCCGATGGCCCAGGAAATATTGCAGAAGAGGGGATTATGGTTCAGAGCCAGAGGATCAGTTGAATTTGCTCTGAGATTGTATCTCTTAGTAATGTCAGAAGCTAAAGACTCACCAACAAGAGTTGTTGTAATTGAGCCAAAGGGAGACAATATTAATGGACATGCCAAAGTGGATGCTGACAAGGACTCAATGCTATTCAAAGAATCACAGGCAACAGAGGAAAGCCAGGAACATGAGAGGTGGTCTTCCCCAGGGAAAACACACCAGTTGGTTTTCCAGTACCAAATGGTCAGCCCTGAACACATTACAAGTAACATTATACAGACTGAACAAAATATATTTAGGAACATATGTGTATATGTATATTATATGCATATGTATATATGTATGTAAATATATACATACATACATGTAATAACAATGAGTTAAAAAAAAAGACCATGAATGTGAAAGAGAACAGAAGGTGATACATGGGAAGGTGTGAAAGGAAAGGGGAGTATGCTAATTATAATAATAATAATATTTATAAACTCAAAAATAGAGAGATGGGAGTTTCTCTCTAGAGAAGTAAAGTATATTTTGTTGTTCTTGATAATGTTATTTTTCTACGTCTACGTTCTACCCCAAGTCTAGCAAGGACTATTTTACTACTGATCAATATGTTTAACCTCATGCTGTTCCCTAAATTGTCTTTTCTCTATCCCTTAAGGCAAGGTTTATGTGAATTTAAAATGCTGGTTTTGGATTAAGACACCAACAGGGGTCTCAGTTCCTGCTGGTTGAAATACAGAGTAGTAACTTTTATATTTGATATCTAAACACTAAAATCTGACCAGTGTGCCTCTACTGTCAAAACATAACACTGTTTAAAGTAGAGTTGGGAAGTATAGCAGAAAACAGGGAAAAAAGAAAGCACTTTTTAGAAAATAGGAAACATAACACAGTCAACCTTTCTAGTACATATTCACTCAGC